ACGAAAATGATATTGCTCGAAATGAAGCGATTCTGCGGAGAGTTCATTTTCTTTTCTTTGTTTCGAAAATGCAGAGCCCTGGGTAGAACATAGAACTGCAAGGCATTTCTATAACTTCAGGGAATGTGAGGAATCCTTTCAAAAAAGTTCTGAATAGTCCAGTGAAGTTCACAGATCTTCAGGGCAGTTCCAATATCTTTAGGAAAGCACCGAAAGCTCCAGAAAATTCTATGATTTTTGGGTAGGCTTAAAGATCTTTAAGAATTGGTTCTTTGATTTCAGCTCATGAAAAGGCTTGAGGGCTGGTTTTAGTTTTATATCGTAAGCATTTTGTGCTGAATGAAAGGCGGTACAATTTTGCCATGAAGAAGGCCAAGTCCAAAGAACGAAACTTGGCCATCCACCGTTAAACTGAAAACCCAATATCTCATTAATAAGTATTTTAAAGTTATATAACGAGCTGATTAAAGACAAGTTTTACCAGAATTCTAGTTTTTATTTTCTGTAAATGCTTATATTACAATTAAAGGCGCTCCTTAAAGATGAGTGGTGGTACACAGATGGCAAATGTGTGAGTAACCTGCTCTAAATTTAACATTACGCTACTGCTCAAGGTGTCCAAAATAATAAAAAGTTGCGATGAGCTGCGTTTATTAAGATATCCAAAAACTACTACCGGTAATAATCCGGTTTAGTATATACCGCCATTCCCCCTTTATAAACATCACTAACTGCATTGTCAGTGACAAATGACAAAACATAACTTAATGATCATATTCATCATTAGCGGAATGCTTAAATAAAACAGTTACTTTGCCTCAACGTGTCCGATCCGGATCTAATGTGCGTGGGCCTTAAGTTCTCCCCTCTGACTACGCCTATGTACATTGTCGTTATAATGGCGAAAGCTGTTTTGTCAATATCACCGTGTATGTTTGAGATTTTGCAGCACCTATTTGGATTTATTGGCTTCATTCCAAAAAAAGTATTTCTTCCGACTGAATTTTTTATTTAAAATTAAGCTACTAGACAGCCAATGGCGGGGAACATCAAAACAAAAAAACTATCTCCCGTGCAACACGGCTGTAGTCATTTTCAACCTGTTTAGAAACAGTCCATGGATGCATATTTACTGGATCCTAGCCTCGGTTTCTTATTGGCGAAAGCCAAATCATCCGCAAGTGTTCCGCAGTATTCGTAATATTTATTCATCGATAATGGCTAAGGAAAACTGGCAACAAATGCTTAATTCACCTCGACCCACTGACATTGAATACAAAGATGTTAAATACATGCATCCATCTCAACAGAATAAACTAGCGTTTTGTATCCGTCTCTGGTGAGCCACAACATAATATATCCCAGAAGATTCAACACAGCTCAGTGCCTTTCTTCACTCTTACACAATCACACCGCCGAGGAATCGCATCCTAATGAGAGTCATGACTCTACCTCTTCTTCACACAATGCAAGAAAATCCGTCTTAAATTGAAGCGATAAATTACAGCCATTACTTCCACTTTTCCCATCTGTATGCACCCGACCTTTCTCTCTCTCTCGCGCTCTCAACTTAGTAACAATAATCACCTAGAACAGTGGTTTTCAACCGAGGAGAATAAAACTAATCGTATTGTAAATACATGCAATATTGAGGTTAATACATCAGTATTGACAATATTTCTGTATTCACATCATCAATAGTATTGTCAATAATTCCTCTTAGCATCAATAGTATTGATAGGTGTGGGGTTCGCTTAAAGGATTCAAGCTAGTGAATCAATCTAAGAAAAATCTTCTGCCATTTCTTGCATCCAAATCCATCTACTCTCATCGTGTTCCATCCTTTTGCAGGAAATCTTCAAATCAATATTCTATCTATCTACGCGCGCATCTGACGACAGCAAATCAAAATCTTCCATGCATCTTAGCTATAGGCTGACTAAAAGTAAATTGGTACGCACAAAAAGACATGTAAATCGTAATTCAATAAGTTTAAAAAATCCATTAATGGTTGCTTTACAGTGCTTTTATTAAAACTTCAAAGTTACAGCATTAGATGGTTACATTTCTCCAGTTCGAACGAAATCTCGAACATTCCTCTTGATGGTGCCCATCAGCGCCCGCACAGTGAAAACAGACACAGAATTATCTTCCATTTTACCCACATTTGCTGGATGTCCTTGACTGCCCCGCCGCTTCGTCGAAGTCGATGCTTTGAAATTGCCCAGTATTTTTCGATTGGTCGAAATTTCGGGCAATTCGGAGGATTCTTTAGCGTGGGGACAAAATCGATCTTTTTGACAGCATACCACTCCAAAATCACCTTGAAATAGTGGCAGCTGGCCAAATCGGGCCAAAAGATGACTTTGCCCCTATGCTTTCGGATGAAAGGCACGCTTTTTCAGGCATTCTTCGATGTAAACTTGGGATGTCATCGTCGAGGATGTGACGAATGGTTCCGTTTTCACGCCACAACTGCAAATCACTTGCCAAACCATGGCCTTCTTCCCGAACTTGTCGGCAAACACGAACTTTAATCTTCCCGGCACATCCCCACGTCCAGTCGCTATGTAAAACTTTTGACCGGGAAGCTGCTTAAAATCGAGTTTGACGTACATGTGTTTCGTCATCGATCAAAGTGCAGCCCTTGCGTTTCGTCAAAACACGGTCGACCTTGCACGCTTTTTGGCCACGGAATTCTGCTTCATGTGCCGGTTCGGATGTTTACTGGCTTTTTACGAGTTGTATCCTTCCTTGGCAAGGATGTTCCGCACCGTTTGAAAGTTGGCGTTGTACCTTCAGGCCACATCTCGGATCGAAAGACCGGTTGGCTGCGCAGCTGACGATCCCTGGTTCCAGTTTTTTCGTAGGTCCACTGATTCCTTTCCACACTCAGGGTTTTCATGTAGGTTTTGAGCACTCGACAAACTGTTGTTTTCGACATCTTCAGCACTTTAGCCAGCTTGGAACCGGACCATTCCAGATTTTCCAGGTGTTTGTGTACAATATTTTTTCTTCTTTCGAGTTCCATTTGACGTTATTTCTGAACGCGATCGACTACTTTGATCAAACTTGCACCAGTTGTTCTCTATAGAAGTGTAAACAAACCACTGTCAAAAAATGTCAATTCCCAACACAAGAGGCGTGCTAGCGCCGCACGAGGGGCGTACCAATTTACACGGGAACAAATCCAACCTCCGAAATGAGAAAAATGACTCATGATTCCAGTATGTAGTATTCTCATGTTTTGAAAATACACCATGACCAATATTCATGATATCATGTGCTATTTTTGCGTAACGCAGCTAAGATTCCCGAAATCACGAATCATCCAAGTTGAAATCGTGAGCCAAATTCATGAATTTAACTTTTAGCTTTTAAACCAAAACATAAAGCATCAGATCAGACTGGATTCGAACCAAGAACCCTGATATCATTAAACCCATACTTTCACTAGGCTATCAGTACTTTCATAAGATGGAAGGCAAAAGGCGTATAAGAGATACCTATGTAGTACGTTTTGTGAATACGGTTTGCCAGTTACGTGTAACGCTTGTAGCGGTCATGATTTCGCTGCATTATAAAATCATGAACTTCCATCACGAACTTATGAATCATTGTTATGATTTCATGGGATGGCAAATTTTTTCATGTCATGATTTTTTATTCGTCAAAATTGAATAGGATTTGTTCCCGTGTAGGGTCGTCTTCCCTTGGACTTGGTCCGTGGTTATGGTTGTGGAACTAGCCTTGCGAGCCTATTTGAGCGGATCTATACAATGTTGCGAATGATAGCGGTTCGCAGACGAATAAACTTTCAAAAACGCGTAAACTTCATTGCCATTCAATGCACTCTAGTATTGTTAAGACAATGTATTGTCGCGCTTGTGTTAACTTCTCATTTGATGACGGTCGAAGCGCGCCGCTCATAAGCACGCTGCAGCCCCGCTCATAAGGATTCTACACAGGTGTGTAACTTAGATAGTATTTTATGGCAGCGGATTGAGGAGCGAATCCTGGATAAATAGCCACCGTATGTTGAATAAATGGGCGCAGTCGTACGGCCACAAAAAAGAACAGATGGTATTGTCCCATTTCGAGAAATTATCCTGCCACACACAATATGTTATTATGTACTGTAACGTGTGTTAGCCAAATCTGTCGTACATTTAACATTCTAAGTTTTTTTAAGAGTGATGAGTAATTTTTGAAAATGCATGGAACAAAAAAGGGTGAAAACCACTGACTTAGAAGATGCACCATTTTCCAACACATTGCACCTTGGCAAACAAAAAAGTAACGTTGCTAATGAATACCACACGCGGGCTACAACTCCTCACCGAAAATTGGATAAACAAACAGAATCTGATCTTTCTCACAATCCCAACAAACACACACAAACATACACATTCACACAAACAAGTGCGTGATTGATTTGAATGAAAAGAATTCGAAGAAAGTCAAAAGATAAAATTTCCATTACATCCTTTGAAATTCGGCCGGTAAACAATGATTCGATTATCCCAGCGGGTGCCGCCACCGCCGTCGGAGTTCGATCTGATCTCTGATCGATTTATTCAATAGCGCTCGATTAGCTGCCAACCGAAGCCGACGAACGGCGACGCCTACTGTGAGTCGGAGAAAGTTTTCTCATTGAGCTGGATTTGAACAAAAAATCATATTCCACCGCATGCTATGACACATGCGGGGGTGATGGCAACTTTTCCAATCAACCAGAGACATTTGTCGATGCACACCAAAAAAAAAGGCACATATATGAATAAACAACACAGTAGACGATGAAATATTGATAACCCCTTTTTGACAACAGAACGACATTGTTTTTCTAAATAACACTGTTACTCCTGCTCTCGTTGTCTACCCCACTGCTATCTAACTACATCAATCATCAACATTAACGCTTGGCTAAATAACTACCCCGTATGTGTGTGTATATATCTCGATCGATTACCCTGTGGCGGATCTTACTAAACCTGTAGAACGTTCTCGACTGAATCTAGAATCCAAATGTTCCTCGCTGCGGAAGCACCTCAGCAAGTCGGCATCGGAGCTGAGCTGTAACGATTGCGGAGGTGCCGGAGACTCGCCGCAGTCCTCACCGCAGAGGGCGCGCAGTGCCGTCAATCCCAGCATACAGCAGGGTGTCATCCAGCGGACGCATGGTTTCTTCAACACGTTAAGGGTAAGTGCTGTGCCATGGTTGCACGGATTTTGGTTATTTGAGCTTTGCAATTTTCAGAATCGGTGGTCCCGCGGACGAAGTAAAGAACGGATACGAGGTTCCTGTGGACAGGAGCTGGAACGACGCGACAGCCAGAGTGACTACGCAGCGGACAACAGTTCCGAACATAGTAGTTCGGCCACCCCCCAAACGCAATCCCCCCGGCACCGGGCACTAACGATAGGAGATTCTCCCCTGGCGCGACCAAACGAAAGGAATGCCTCGATGAGCTCTGACGGAAACGCCCAGAAGCTGACGACCAAAGTAGATGTAGAACCTAGCACCAGTAGTAACATAGTGACGGCAGCAGTAGCGAAACTAATCAACGATGTTCCCACCACGAGCGGTTGCTCGCCCACAGTGGCCTCCACCAGCCTCAGCAGCGACGATGTACAACGAAGGCGCGAAACGCAACTGCGGCAGCATTCGTTTTTCCAGCTGCGAATCAATCTCCTCAGCGGACACAATCTGGTGGCGATGGATAAAAGCGGTACGCCATTCAATTTCGCTCACATCAATAAATCATAACCATTCCAACAATCCCCTCTCCCCCCCTGCAGGTACCAGTGACCCATACGTTAAGTTTAAGGTAGGTGGTAGATTGCTGTACAAATCGAAAACCGTACACAAAGATCTGAATCCGGTGTGGGACGAGACGTTCGTCGTTCCCGTGGAGGACCCTTTTCAACCAATCAACATCAAAGTAAGGCCATCCGATTTCCACCTGATTTATTGATTATGCAATCGGACATATCATCATTCCTTCCCTTGATACCTAGGTCTTCGACTACGATTGGGGCCTGCAGGATGATTTCATGGGTTCGGCGAAGCTGCATCTAACCTCGCTGGAGCTGAACCGGGCGGAAGAGCTCACCATCAAGCTGGAGGATGCGCAACGGGCCACCAAGGATCTCGGGGAAATCAAGCTCAGTGTGACGCTGTGGCCCAAGACGCAGGAAGATAAGGAGCAAGTAAGCCTCACACGGCGATTGAGAACGACCTAAATTTTAGTTTAGTTCACTCATAATCGCCAAAAGTGCAGGAACTCAGTGATTAATACCGGAAAATGAGGAAAATTGATGAAAATTTTACTCAGTCTAAGAGTGGTACCAACAAACTGAGTGAATCCAAGCTTAACTGTTCTCATATTCGGGAATTTTTTTTCCTGGACAAACCTGCAAAATCATGAGGCAGATTTACTCATCGCTGAGTTCCTGCAGTATATGTGATTTATTAGTTAAATAAACTTAAATTTGGGTCGTTCTGCTTAGCCGTGCAAACATTACACTTTCCGTCAAACATTTCATTTTTCACAACCGCTTTCACTTTTCGCTTCTTATTCCGACAACACCACCGGCACCATTCACTGCAATGTGCTTAGGTTAGGAAAATGTTGCTGAGCGGCTTTGAGTGGAAGCTGGCCGCCGCAGTGGGACGAAGCCGGTCGTAGCTGAACTTTTTTTGTCATAAATTATTATTTTTATATAATACAAAAATCTATGTGAATGTGGGTTTTTTTTTCGTTTAGAAATGGTATGATTTATTGCAAACTCGCTTAGGCACTAAAAATAGTGAGAGAGAGAAGGATTAGTATTTTCCATTTAATTCCACTACTTTATTAAAGTAGTGGAATTAAATGGAAAATACTAATCCTTCTCTCTCTCATTATACAGGTATTCCACTAAGACGCCCACATTCATCAGGACTAAAAATAGGATAAAATTCCTTATTTTTGCCTCAAACTACCCGAAAATGATTCGTCCCGTGCACAACACCTAAACATTTGATTTGTAGTCAAGAAAGATAACTTTTGATGTATAAATATCCCTTCATATCCAGCGGCACTATTGAAGGGCTTTTTTTTGAAAAAAAAATCCCATTGTGCAGTGGGACGACATCAAAAAAGTGGGACATGGCTTTTTGCGACGAAACTATTGAGTTTAGCATGTTGATGTCTCCTAAAATGTTGTTGCAATTTTTGAGAACTTTATTTGAGTTTCAATTTTTTTACAAGGGGTTGGTCACTCGGCAGTGTGTTATAAACAAAATTAGTTGTACCTGGGCACACTAATTGGCACCCATGGTTGGAAATTGTCATGATCTTTAAAGTTACTGGCAACACTGCACTATCTCTGCGCGTGCACTTCTCAAATGACACATCATTGTTATTGATGCAATTCAATGTTTGGAATGATTTTTTTGGAGCGTTGTCCCACTTGGCTGGCAGATAGCCATCGTCGATCTCCAAAGTCAATATCGATCCCCGGAAGAGCTTCTCTCTCTGGCATCGATAGCGTGAGCCCATTCCAGGTAACATCAGCAGCAGTTTGACCCAGCGTTTGTAAATTTTGAATGCAATCAGATCCGTTTCAATGTTGTCTTCGTCAAGCGATTGAAAGAAACTTTGTGCAAGACGAAAATTTTCTATCTCTGAAGTGGGCGAAGTTTATAGGGTGAAAATGGAGTACAAACGGTAATAACAACCGGTGGAAACTATCGATTTTAAATTGGCTTACTACTTGTCTAGCGTATTGGTCCCAAGCAAATCGATTAATGTACCCCATTCTACTCGAAATTCTAGTACTACACTATGTTTGTTTTGATTCGCTATAAAAGTATGACAGATAATATGAGGGGTTCGTGGATTTTCCTACACGGGAAGAAAAAAGTACCCAACGGCCAGTTCACTTTTACCTACTTTTGACTAGTTTGTCTCCTTTTCTCCTTCTAATGTTGTCAAAAACGGAGGAGCAAAACCACCCAACAGGGGTAGTAAAGTGTGGGAACCCAACGTTGAGTACAATCATATTTACCTACTGCTGGGTCCAACTAACTTACTTTTGGTTAAAAAGCCAGTGGAAAATTCCATACGAACCGCACATAAGTAGATGAAAATTACTTTGACCCGCTTTACCTACTTTTGGGTTCCTGCATTATAGTGCCGAGATGAGTGAAAAGAACTTAATTTCGGGTACTTTTTTCTAACCGTGTATGTTCCGAGGGGTGCATAGATTAGCTTGGGACCGAAGAGAGTACCAGAGCTGAGCCAAAAAGTTGAGCTCGTTTCTTCGGGACCTTCTGGTCTTAGAGTTACCACTATGGTAATACCCTGGCAGTTCCCTTGTTCTTGACCTCCGCAACTCCAACTCCAAACTTCGTGTACAATTTGGAACTCAGTTTCAACACACTAAGAAATAGTTTAGTTAATCCAGAAAATATAAAAATTTTCAATTTCCTGGTCTTAAAAAACTGTGGTAATTCAAAATTCAGAAAAGTGTAACAGTGAGATAGTGCGATAGTCTGAAAAGTATAACAGTGAGATATGGGAGGTCTAAAACTTGAGAAAAGGATCTATATGCCAAAAGTAAATTCAAAATTCCAACTTTGAATGAATTTGAAAGATTCTGTGACACGAAAAGTTTTAAAGGTTTTAAAATTAACAAGCATGTCCAGAGTTGACAATTGATAGAGATTGAAAATTTAACAAAATATCACGTGTCTGAGGCTGAGAAATTGTTTGTTATTTTCACTGGTATCATCTTGGACAATTGTCATGAACTAAAACAATTTGGATAATTTTGGGACATTTCCGATATTTTGAAACCTCTGAATCAAATTTTAGTATCCCATGCTATTGAAAAGTTAATAATTTAGAGCTGGACGAAATATTCAGAATTCAAGAAGAAATATTCAGAATTCAAGAACAATATTTTTTTATTATCGGTCTAAATTTATAGAATTCGATTTGTGTAGGTATAAGGGGAAATGGATGTAATGTTGACCTAAATGCCCCTAATTAGGACTCAAACATAAATTCAGCAATCGACTAAATTTTCAATAGCGACCAAAAATATCCACTAGTACCGTTCCAGATCCAGAGTTCATCTAGATAAAATTGATAAATCAAGATCAACAATTGAAAAGGCCTTAACTCCATTTTGTAAACAAAACTTGTAGGGCCATTTTCACGTGATTTTGAATTTCCCCTACCTGTTCATTTAGTTGGTTTGCGTTGGCGGCTTTTGGTTCGCGAGAAAATGGCCTTACAATGTTTGTTTACAAAATGGAGTTGAGGCCATTTCAATTGTTGGTCTTGAAATACCAGATTCTTAGCGATGGGCCCAATCTTAGTTCCATAGGAAAATATTAGAGCCATTTCAACCATATATAATTTTTTGATTCCAAGCAAATTCCTGGTTATTTTCCGGATATTTCCCGGTTTTTCCCGATTGCTTCCGATTCCCGAGTCTCCCGGTTTTCCCAGTTCATTGGCCTCCAGTGCCGTATTAACGGTAGGACGATGATGGGTTACAGCCGGGCCCCCAGTTTCGAGGGCGTTCCCGGCTCACATACATCAATCAAATCCGTCTCAATAATATGTTGCCATCAATTCAACGTTGGTTGGCCTAGAATGCACTCAAATTTATTTCTTATTCAAGCGTCTTAGGGGAGAGGGGTTTCTTGGGTAAAGTTGTACATTTCATAGTATTGAAAAATGCTGCCCACGCCATTAGAGAATTATGATTTACAAAAAGCAGGCCTACATATAAAATCACTGCATGAAAAGCGTTTTCATCAAGGCCCCACAAAGTCACTTTCAATCGAAATCGTCAAGTGACGATGAAGCTGTCAACCATCACTTTTAATTGAAAGTCATTCTGTCTTCTCTTCAAGCAGATCCCCGTCAACATCAACAGAACCACTTCCGATCAGTTTTCATGCTGTTGGTTTTGACTTGACTCATGTAAAATTTATTCACTGTCGGGTGGTTTGTTTATCCATCAATATGGGTATTTCTTTAATCGGGGTGACGTCTAGGGATCAAAAATGCGACGCCATTTTGACATCCACTATGGCGGCTTCCGATTGGGAAATACTGTCAAATACCCATCAATATAGGTATTTTTGGAATCGGGATGGCATCTAGAGGCTGGAAATCGATATCCGACGCAATTTTTAAATCCAATATGGCGGCTTCCTATTTAAGAAAAAAAATGGGAAATGCTGATGCCGTCCCATCAATATGGGTATTTTTTGGAATCGGGGTGACGTTTGGAGATTGGAAATCAATATCCGACGCCATTTTGAAAACCATGATGGCGGCTTCCGGTTTGAGAAAAAGTTGTAAATTCTATCAAATACCCATACAAACGGTTTTTTTAGAATCAGGGGGACGTCTAGAAGCCGAAAATCGATATCCGACGCCATTTTGTAATCCAAGACGGCGGTGTATGGTTTGCGGAAAAGTGTCAAATATCCTAAAATATGGTTATTTTCAGAATGGGGATGAGACGTAGATGCCGAAAATTGATGTTACACTGTCTGTAAATCGAAGATGGCGGCTTTGGTTCAGAAAAACTGTGAAATACTGTCAAATACCGATCAATATGGATTTTGTGGAATTAAGCTGACATCTAGAAGAAAGAAATCGATGTCCGACGCCACCTTGAAATTCAATTTAAGAAGAAGTGTCAAATAGCCTACAAATGGCATCGCATATCGATTTTCAGCATCTATGCGTCGTCCTCGTTCCGAAAATATCCAGGCCGCCATATTGGATTCAAAAATGACATCGGATATCGATTTTCGGCATTCACACGTTGTCCCCATTCTGGAAATACCCATATTGTAGGGTATTTGACACTTTCTGAACCATTATTGCCGCCATATTGGATTCCAAAGTGGTATCTGATATCGATTTTTGGCATCTACGCGTTGTCCCTGTTCCGAAAATAACCGTATTGTAGGGTATTTGACACTTTTTTTGAAACCCTATGGTCTCCATATTGGAGTCCAACATAGCATCGGATATCGATTTTCGGCAGCCACGCATTGTCTCCATTCCGAAAATACCCATATCTTAGGGTATTTGACACGATTTATGAAACTTGATGGTCACCATCTTGGATTCCAAAATGGCGTCGAATACCGATTGTCGGCATCCCCGTTCGGAAAATACCCATATTGTAGAAAAGTTGATACTTTTTGAATCCTGATGGCCGCTATATTGAATTCCAAAATAACGTCGAATATCGATTTTCGGCACCTTCGCATCGTCCCCGTTCCGAAAATAACCGTATTGTAGGGTATTTGAGACTTTCCCTGACCCCGATGGCTGCCATCTTGGACTCCAGAATGGCCTCATTAATTTAATTTTGGTTTAATATAAAATAATATATTATTACTACATATAATCCAGATGCCATCCCTATCGGCAACCGACATTGTGTGGATACTATCCGGAAACTATATTTTGATGCCTGCGTTGTCAGGTCGTGACAAGTCAAATAAGCCCCGAATTGAATCGAAAGTGGAAAAAACGAAGGAAGCAGTTTTCGAGTCGAGATTCATTGCGGCAATTGAAACAAGTATTTGCTTCAAAAAAAAAAATGAACTGAAGCACTTGACGGACGAAACAAGTGAGAGTCCAGACATGTTTTAAAAGAGGAATGTTCATCGTGACTCGATAACAAGAAACACAATGACATACACGAAAATGATATTGCTCGAAATGAAGCGATTCTGCGGAGAATTAATTTTCTTTTCTTTGTTTCGAAAATGCAAAACCCTGGTTTTCACAATTACTTACGTGTATATAGGGTGTCCCAGAAAGTATAAGCACACTTTCAACTCACCGCCATTTCTTCTCCGAAGAATTTTATCCGCTGTTCATCGATGTGTGTTGTTGTTGTGTGCGCAAAGTGCACCACTACCATCGAGGGGGCCACCCCGGCGTAGTGGTTAACATCCATACCTCTCACGCCAAAGTCACGAGTTCAAATCTCACCCCCGGACAAGTCACGAATGACCCAAGAGTGTTAAAGTGACTATAATAAAAAAAAAAAAAAAAAAAAAAAAGCAACACTACCATCGAGGACACAACATAATCTGGCCGCAAACCGGGACTGGTGGACCGAAAAGAAGATCACCAAGCTTTCGTCAATAAGAAAAGTGCCTCTGTTCGAGATTTGGCCGAAAAAATTGATAATCTCGAAGAGTAACGTCCAACGTACCAAAGCAAGAAACGGGCTAAATACATTCAAAAAGCAGAAGAAGCCGACACGGAGTCAGAAACAAGCTACATTCGTCAAACCGAGGGCTCGGATGCTATGTGATAGCATGCTGTGTGGAAAATTGGCTTGTGTTATCATGGACGATGAAACATACGTCAAATTTTACTACAAGACGCTTATGGGAGATCAAAACTACACAGTCCGTTATGGGCAGGTCAAGAAGCAAGACAGCTTTTGAGCATGAGTTAAATCAGAGTTAATTTCGAGTAGCTCTGAGTAACTCACGATAATCAATGTCAAATACACATAGCAACCTGATTTTTGGGTTTAAATCTGTCATCATCGGTGGGCTGAAGCCGATTGGCGCTGAAGTTCTTCCGGATGTGATACTTGTGGTGATGTTGCGGAATTTGCTGGATTGTATAATACTGTCCGGGATATCAGTGTTACAAAATACATTGATGGTAACGATGATTAAAGACTACCAACACCGACCGGGTGGATCTATTTGCAGAATTTATTTTAGCTGTTTTAATATTGTGGCTACCGCTTGTTTCTGCTTCTCTCAGTATTTAGCAGTGGTAAGAGGAACACTTTGCTATGAGTAGCATGAGGAATTGAGTCCATCAAGGAAGGATCTGCAGCTGACGAAAATGAGAGTGCCCGGAACTATTGTTCAAACTGACAGGAAAAGTTTTGCACTGAGCTCGCCTGGGATTCACCAGAATTCTTATTGAAATACACTGCGTTTTAGCTCAAGACTAAATAGTGTCCATACGCCAACAGCATTGACTCTTACACTTTAATTCATCGCAACAATTGGCATTGTGGAAATGGGTGATGACAACAGAAGTAGCACCAAAGAACATCACCTCGAAGTTCATATCCAGAAGGAACAGAAACGTTATAGTGTCATTAAGAAGGGCTACGATTGTCCTACCTGCCAACAAACGAATATCTCCTGGTACAAGCTGAGCAAGGCCTTGGTGCAATAAACCTATGAACTATCTTCATCAACACAAAGGGAAGCCTGATTAAGGCCGCTATTCGTTTCACATGGAAGTAATGGCGTAGCAAACTACTCAGAAAAACTACGACCATGTGCTACAACAACAGCAGTTCAAACGGCTATTATCGATAAGATGTTTGTCACTTTCGATCAACTGCCAACGAACAATCCATTTGAAATGATTTCCTTTTTTTGAGGAGCGCTACAAGCCATACCTTCTATGGCCTATAATATATGGTAAATCGTAGCCTGAGTGGAATCGCGAACGAATCGAGAGCCGAGGATTCTTGTTCACTATACACCTCTATAGTCAAAAGGTTCAACACAATAAACATTTTATCTTCCGCTATCCAATATCTTCACCAAAACGGGAGCCGCTTCCAGTGGTTTCATTGTATGGCAGTTACGCCAACGGGGGTCAGAGCGCTTCCATTGCAACAATATTGGACGCAAAACGTAGTCAGCACCCACACATTCATCACTAAACGGTTGCTTTCCAAAGTCGACGACGCATCGACCGAAAGAACTGCTGATGAAGAACAATGAGGAGGACCACACAATGGTTGCTGCCGAATAAACAAACGATCGCGTGACACACATTCAGAGTGGTCTGCTTCTGTCGACAGCCGAGTGAACACTCCCATCGTTTCAATAGTTTTGTTAATTGGAGTGTTTTATAAAGTTAAAAGTATAAATATAATCCTAAATATCGTACGTATCCTACCACTTCTAGCATACGGCTACACTTCCTTCCAATGTCCTCTTGACAAATTCTCGCCAACCCATTCTTGATGGCATCCCCGACCTCGTACTTTCAATGCCAGCGACTAGTTTCGGAACCGCATATAGGCGACTGATCATTTTTACGATATCTTGACGACTAATACGGATTTATTTCACATAGCACTGATCCATCTGATATCAGATATGAGCGGTCCTGCAAGTGATCATCATTGAAAAAATGCATGATTTCATCTCAAATAAATTATATGTCTGGTGGGTAAATGACGTCTGTATGGATTTTTCATTGAAGGTTGGTATTTGTTGAAAAAAGCGAGACTACTTTGATCAATTTTGAGTAATTATGAGTTGCTCAAATTTACTCGCTGCGAAGCTATTTGCTCTGAGTACAGTTGACTAGCCTCCTCATCGACGATGCCGATAAGTCAGTTTTTACCGAATAAAATAAAATAAAAGAAGGCCATGGTTTGGCAAGCTATATGTGAGTGTGGCAAGTTGTCAAAGCCATTTGTGACGAAGGAGATGATGAACACTGACATTTACGTTCGGGAGTGTTTGCATCGAAGTCTGCGGCCCATGATCCCTCAACATGATGAGCCAGTACCATTTTGGCACGATTTGGCGTCATTGCACTACTCGAAAGACACGGTAGCTTGGTGCAAAGCAAACAATGTGCAATACTTGCCACAAGAGATGAATCCTCCGAATTGTCCGGAGGCCCGGGCAATCGAAACTTTTTGGGCCCTTCCCAAGGGATTGATACGGAAATACTTTAAGGCAGCGAATTCAATCAAATAATTCGAAAAAGACTGGATAATTAATAAAAAATAATTTGGATTCCGGAGCAGGAAACCTTGACGGTATAGTACAGACATTCACGGAATACTATAACCATCCACCGCTATAGATTTATAAAATAAAGACCATCGCACTCAGCAAGACAGCGAAGAGAACATATTGATAATGGAAAATTGATCCACCCTTTAACATTATCTACAAATTTCCACAGAATCGCTGCACTTTCCATTTCCCCATCATCGTTTATCAGTTTCATCATGGTAGCGCAACACGATTGGTTTCTCCTTCACCCCTAGTCTCCTCCTCCCTAAAAACGACCTCCAAAACAACAACAAAAACAAGCTGGCGCCGTTTCTTTCTATCTGTTTTAATCAAAAACCTCTTGCACCCGTTTTGCTTTAACCCGCTAGTACTTTCAGCGTAATCCCAAACTGGCCGACGCATCCCGGCGGCTCAAGTCGCAGATCTGGTCCTCCGTTGTGACGATAGTGCTAATCGAAGCCAAAGGACTCCCACCGGACGCCGAGAATGTCCTGAACGATGTGTACGTTAGATTTAGGTCAGTATTGCGATTTACGTGGGCTTCGAACAGGCGTGGGAGTTAATGCTGCGGGGTGTTGTTTGCAGGTTAGGCAATGAGAAATACAAAAGTAAAACATCCTACCGGGCTCGGTGGTTGGAACAGTTCGACCTGCACCTGTTCGACGACGACCAACTGCTGGAGCTGATAGTATGCGGGAAGTACAATACGTACGGCAAATGCACAATCGATCTGCGAAATCTTCCACGGGAACGCACTCACGGCATGTGGCATCCACTGGAGGAGTGCACCGGCGAGGTGCAGCTGATGCTAACCATCAGTGGGACGACCGCGTCCGAAACGATAACGGACCTGACGTCATACCGAGAGGATCCCAAGGAGCGGACACAGCAGCAGAAACGATACGTAAGTAAATGGACTGCCTTATGATTGCAACCTAACTCATGCGCGCAAATTTAAAATTATCTCCTGCAGATATGGCACCGTTCACTGCAGAACCTGCGAGACGTGGGCCACCTGACGGTGAAGGTGTTCGGTGCGACCGGCCTCGCCGCGGCGGATATCGGAGGCAAGTCAGATCCATTCGTAGTGCTAGAGCTAATCAACGCTAGATTGCAAACCCAAACCGAGTATAAAACGTTAACACCCAATTGGAACAAAATCTTCACTTTGTAAGTGTCGCATGGCAATCTCTCTCCCTCACTCTCTCTCTGTCCCTGTCTGTTTGTTGTATACACTATCTGTTTCCATCCTACTTCAAAAATTCCCCGCCCCCCCTCAAATAGTACGCCCATTTCCCTAATGACTAAATCCCACTTCTGGTTGTGTTTGTTCCCTTTTTACCCACGCACAGTAATGTAAAAGACATGTCATCGGTGCTGGATATTACCGTCTTCGACGAGGACCGGGACCACAAGGTGGAGTTCCTAGGCCGGGTGATGATTCCACTGCTGCAAATAAAAAACGGCGAGAAGCGGTGGTACGCACTGAAGGATAAGAAAATGTACTCCCGAGCGAAGGGAACGCACCCTCAGGTGAGCGAATCCTAGTCATAATGTTTGTGTGTTTGTATTGGAATGCGGTGGTGGTAGTGGTGTTGCAAGTTTGTATACGGGAGGGTACGGGGTGATGAATATTTATTTTTACGAGCTGTGGGATGTAAATATGAATTCAATTAAATCATGATTGGAGTGCAACGTTGTAGTTGGAAGCCAAAGGGTTGTTAACCCGAAATGATTTCGAACCGTGGAAATGAGGGATGATACTTAAATCGGTGACTAGTTTAGAAAAAAATCATGGAAGTTCAAGGAGAGATTCATGTTTTTTTTATGAATAATTCCAAGTAAACTCTGAGGAGAATTGAAAAAAAAAAAAATTAAAGAAAATAAGCTAATTATGTCGGGTATTGTGAGCAATTTTTTTTTTCCTTTGGTTTGTTTTTTCCGTCGATCTTGTTTTCCGTGCTGAGTACCAATGCTACCGACGTGCCAGGAAGGCAGCTCCCACACCTGGACCCTACCTATCGACCCATCAACTCATGAACCGGGGACCAACGGCTTTACTTCCCATCCGAAGGAAGGCGTGATCAGAGATGTTATGCCTCAGAACATCCCGGCGGCGCCGACTGGGATTGAACCCAGGCCTGCTGGGGTGAGAGGTAATCACGCTTACCACTACACCACCGGCACCGTTATTGTGAGCAATATTCTCAGGGAATTTAAAAAAGAAATCTTGCATAATTTAGGGAGAACTACTAAAACTTCCAAGAGAAGGTATAAAGGGTGATACGGTCAAAATTTGGTCAAGGGAAAACGCGTGTAAATCGGTGAAATCGTTTATTAAAAAAATCAAATTAAATTTCTTTTTCAAGTTCAATTAGTATAAAATTCAGGAAAAATATTCAGTTAGGCTTCCGCTTTTCCAAATCCGAATTGCCGGGCCTTACGCTTGACCCATGCCATCAGATTTTGTACAGCCACCTTGTCCACCTTCTTCGCCGCAGAAAGCCAGTTTGCCTTGAACTGCTGCTCGCCCTTAGCAGTTTTTTTGGTCTTCTTTAGGTTCCGCTTGACAATAGCCCAGTATTTCTCAATTGGGCGGAGCTCTGGCGTGTTGGGAGGGTTCTTGTCCTTGGGAACCACCTGCACGTTGTTGGCGGCGTACCACTCCATGGCCTTTTTACCGTAATGGCAAGATGCCAAATCCGGCCAAAACAGTACGGAACAACCGTGTTTCTTCAGGAAAGGCAGCAGACGTTTATTCAAACACTCTTTCACGTAAATTTCTTGGTTGACAGTCCCGGAAGCTATGAAAATGCTGCTTTTCAAGCCACAGGTACAGATGGCTTGCCAAACCAGATGTTTCTTTGCGAACTTTGACAGTTTCATGTGCTTGAAAACATCTGCTACCTTTCTCCTTCCTTTTGCCGTATAAAACTCCTGTCCCGGAAGCTGCTTGTAGTCGGCTTTGACGTAGGTTTCGTCGTCCATTACCACGCAGTCAAACTTCGTCAGCATCGTCGTGTACAGCCTCCGGGATCGCGCTTTGGCCGTCGTATTTTGTTTATCACCGCGATTTGGAGTCACTACCTTCTTGTAAGTCGATAGTCCGGCTCGTTTTTTGGCTCGATGCACGGTTGTAGACGATACACCCAGCTTATTTGCGGCATCTCGGAGAGAGAGGTTAGGGTTTCGCTTGAAACTACCGGCAACTCTCTTTGTCGTCTCAGCGGCTTCCGGTTTTCGATTTCCCCCCGATCCAGACTTCCTGGCTGTCGACAAACGTTCCCCAAACACTTTAATTACATTTGTAACGGTTGATTTGGCAACTTTTAGCGATTTTGCCAACTTTGCGTGCGAGCAGTGCTGATAAAAATCCTTTCTTCTACACTCAATTTAGCTGAAAATGAAGAAAACCTTAACAGATAGACCAACTACCTGCATGAATTTGAATTTTGATTTAAACAAATTCCCTTGATCTAGGCAACCTCTGAGTATCAAAAATAACATTTGTTTTTCTTCATTTGTGGCTGGATTCTCATTATCGCCGCTGTTGTTGTAAATATTGATATTCGTCTTCATCTTGGTCGGGATGATATTGAGGATCAAATGCAAAATGATTATTTTCATTTTAAACAAATATAGCGCTGAAGAACGTGGTTCTTAGACATAAGTCGACGGCAAATTATTGCCTCAAGTAGAACTGATGATAATATCGATGATTTAGGCAGTGTGGTCGACAATATTCAAAATAATCATTTTGCCCAAAATGTCGTTGATAATTTTGCTTTTGAGGATCACTTCTGATTTTTAAAAATTTTGGTTTGATAATCGAGCACTGGTGAATATCAACAAACGCGTATTCGTTGATGTATAATAAACTCATTTGTTCATTTCGCACGTTTCGTAACTACGAAGATGTTCAAAACAAACGCAATTCATCGACACTGGGTTGAAGCGATACTCCTTGCATGTGATGGTAAATGATAAAAACAGACACTGCGTGCGAGTAGCTCGGATTTTCGCGATGCGCGAGCAAAATTTTGATACGCTGCTCTTCTTGCTTGGACGGCATTTTGACAACTGAAGAGTGAATTCCAAAATCAAAATAGGAGCAACATTCTACACACACACACCTTCAAAATGAGGGGTGTTCAGGTTTTTTAAATGCAAAATTGAAAGAAATACGTCAAGTTGATATTGACCAAATTTTGACCGTATCACCCTTTAGTAGAATGAATTCCGAGATTCTTATGAAGAAGTTTTAAGAGACTATAAAGTTCAATTTACTTTGATGCATTTTCTAAAAATTCAAATGCAGTTTTTTTTTGACGCATCATTTCAGATTGCAAAAAGCTCACGTCATTCTATTAGTTTTGCTATTTTACACAAAATGACGCGAGCTTTTTGCAATCTGAAATGCTGCGTCAAAAAAAAAACTGTATTTGAATTTTTCGAAAATGCATTTAAGTAAATTGAACCCCAGGTAACAGTTTGATGCTTAATAAGTTTTGTTCAATCGATTTTAATTCAGCCTTAGCTTGAATAATTGTTGTAAATAGACCACGTTAACCTTTGTTCAGCTTTTAAACATCTAAATCTGGTGATTTTATTCAGCCAAAAGCTTAACAGTTACATAAATTGTAAGCTTTTTAACAGTTTTTTCCAACCCTTGTTCAGCCTTCTAGTTTTATTAAGTAAAATAAAATTAAGGAAGACCGCTTCATATCTTATATATGTACTTATATAATCATTATAGGACTGCAACAAGGTGCTGACTAATTGGATTTACATATTTATATTGTTTTTATAAATCTAAAAATTACCTTTTCGTTTCGGGATTCGAGCCGGCAGTCGCTGATTCACAAGCATCAAACATACCTACTGGACCACTTAAGCATATGTGTGGCAAAAGGTATGATCATTAACTTTAAACACGTCAAATTTAAGTGGAATAACAGCAACCGGACGAGTATTATACTGCAATGCAGAATTGTAAACAACAACTGGTGACAGTAAAACATTCCTCTCAATTACAAGTGTAGTTAAGGTGATACTCTAAGGAAGCCTTAGCGTGAAACTTCAAAGGCACAAATGTCAGCTTCCACAAAACATACAAATTTGAAATGGCTACTCTCTGTTTGTTGTAGCACAGCAAACAAGGAGTGGCAAATTCAAATTTGTGTGTTTTGTGCCTTTAAAGTTTCACCCTAAGGCGTCCTTAGAGTATCACCTTAACACAATGTGCACACAAGTGCAAGATTTATTTCGATGGTCATTTGGCTGGGACAGGGATATATGAAAAAAAAAATAATTCTCGTTCCAGTATGATTTTCGGGGTTCTTCTGGGTCCTAGAATAACTGTGTAAAATTTCAGGTCGGTCGGTGGAACTATATTTTAGCGCCAGCGGTTTTAATTTTACATAGGATTTTCTATGGGAAAACTTACTTTTTCAAATAAAAATCTGGTGAGGTCACCCATTGTCCTCTAAAAATAAACCAATCCAACTTTTTCCTGGGAAATTTTACAAGGAAACTTTTCTTAGAAGACCGCAAAACGATCCAACGCTTGTGGAAAAAGTTATTTTGCCATTACTGATTGCTAACCAAACGAACTGCTCATTATTCTTTTTTTCTAGCAGCACTGCCAGCTGCCGCCTGCTGCTGTCTGCGCGAGGCAGTCACGTTGTGTGGGGGTTCACTCAGCATGGAGGAAAGCCGATATCATGCGCAAAGAATCTTCTATTTTGATTAAACTTTACACAGGTTTCCGGTAAAGTACAACAATTATGTTTCACGAGGGTCATTTGGAAACAAGCGTGATTTTTCACAAGGGTGTATTTCCTTTGGCGCACAATTTATTCAAACCTTATCAGTCGATGTGCTGCTGCTCAGACTTCAATATTTCATCGGCTTCATTTTTCGGTGGTACTTCACATCTTGCAGTAGGTAATCATGTTGTTTGGGATTCTTGGTTACCGAGTTGTTGAGGTCGGAAACAAGCTTTACGGCTCTTTCCGCGACATCATTCACAACGCCAAGAGCTTGAACCGCCGTCACTTTCAATAAATTTAAAGCACTTTTTTTGTTCAAAATCGAAACAATGTTTATGAAAATATGTCACTCTGTGATTGAAAATTTTCCAGCTAAATCAAAGCTTTGATCCTGATGTACCTTTGGTAGTACACTGGGATGGAAAGATTCTGCCTGACATCAACGGAAAGCGCGTTGATCGGCTTCCCAATCTTGTTACTGGAGCAGGGGTGTCTAAACTTCTTTCGATACCTTCCCTATCAAGTGGAACGGCGGATGCTGAATCAGCTGCGATAATGGAGACAATCAACGAGTGGGGTCTGCAGGAAAGAATAGTTGGAATGAGCTTTGATACAACTAGTGTTAAATCTGGCGTCTTTATAATTAATAAATTTAAAGGTAATCAATGTAATATTAATAATAAAAATTCTCGAACTCTACCTGAAGAAAAAAAATAAACTACTGAATAAATTTTTCCATGCTGACTAAAGGGTGTCCACGATGAAATTGCCACACTATGAAATTGCTCTAACTTTTTAACCGTTGGGTAGAATTTAATGAAAATTTGGGTGGATTTAGTTCATAGTGCATTATTTACATCCTGCAAGTTTTAAAGTCCTGTGATCAAAACTCGCGGAAATGGAGTCGAAAGAACAGCTCGTGCGTGATAAAATCTTGCGCATTCATCACGAGAACAAGGATCTCTCGCATCGTTCCATCGCTAAAACGTTGGGAATCGCGAATTCCACGGTGTCGCGAGTGATTAAGCGGTTCGAGGAACGGTTGACCACCGATCGGAAGCCCAGAAGTGAAGGAACAAGTATTCCGTACAACACCAAAAATCACAACCGCGTAGTTGGGGCCTTCAACCGAAATCCGAACGCCTCCGTTAGGGATGTGGCTAAGAAGCTGCACGTAAGCCGAAGTTTTGTCCAGAAGTCCAAAACTAAGGCTGGGCTTCGAACGTTCAAGGTACAAAAGGCCCCTAATCGCGACGAGAAGCAGAACAAGTCCGCCAAAACCCGTGCCAGGAAGTTGTACCTCAACATGCTGACGAAAGTTGAATGGTGCATCATGGACGACGAAACATATGTGAAGGCCGACTTCAAACAGATCCCCGGCAACCTGTTTTTCACGGCCAAGGATAAGTTCAGCGTTCCGGAGCATGTCCGCACTCAGAAGATGTCCAAATTTGCGAAGAAATTCCTGGTTTGGCAAGCCATCTGCACGTGCGGGAAGCGGAGTGCACCTTTCGTGACCCAGGACACGATGAACGGACAGGTGTACACAAAAGAGTGCCTCCAGAAACGGCTGCTTCCTCTCCTGAAGGCCCACAACGTCCCAACAATCTTCTGGCCGGATTTGGCCTCATGCCACTACTCCAAAGACGTGCTGAAGTGGTATGCGGACAATAAGATCAATTTCGTGCCGAAAATGTTCAACCCTCCCAACACTCCGGAGCTCTGTCCCATCGAGAAGTACTGGGCGATTATGAAGCAGCACCTTCTTAAACGACCTAAGGTAGTGAAGACAGTCGAGGAACTGAAGAAAGTATGGGTTTACATGCAAAAAACGGTTGATTCACAGGTTGTGCAGAATCTTATGGCCGGGGTTAAGGCCAAGGTGCGGGCATTTGCGTATGGACTGTAAATAAAATACGAGTAAAATGGTAAAATGAAGTTTAATAGTTATTTCTCAATCCCTGAAAATTTGATGGCAATCGGATGAAAACTCGAATTTTGCGAATCAATTTTGTGTGTGGCAATTTCATCGTGGACACCCTTTATAAGCAAATAATTCTTCACGGCGAATGAGAACGACCCAAATTTGAGTTTAGTTCACTCATAATCACCAAAAGTGCAGGAACGCGATGAGTAAATTTGTCTCATGTTTTCCTGTGGAAAACCTAAAAAATCTGCCGGAAATTGAGGAAATTGACGAAAATTTTATTCAGTCTCGGAGTAGTACCAATAGACTGTGTGAATCCAATCTTTACTTTTCTCAAATTCGGGAATTTTTACCTGAAAAATCCTGGGAAAACATGAGGCAAATTTTCTCATCGCTGAGTTCCTGCACTTTTGGCGATTATGAGTGAACTAAAGTTAAATTTGGGTCGTTCTCATTCACCGTGTTGCTACAATTGGCATGCCGCCATCACATCGCAGAAATTGTATTCAAACACGTTTTACAACACGAAATATACGGTAGAAATCAAAAGTAGAAATAGAATCTGATTGATTGATTTCTTTATTAAAGACGAAAGAGTAAAGAAACTACCAGCTTTAAATGAGCCAAAAAAATCGATCGAAAAATCCGGAAAACGACGCAAACTCAGCGAGGATAAAGTTCCCGTCAGAGCAACTAACATCAGGGACCATTCGACCCTTTCGGACTTTATTACTGAGGCTTCAAGTGAGTTTTTTACTGTAATGAACATCTAAAGTTATTTTTTGTTAATTTATCTTGTTCATGAATATGACCGAACCGAAAGAGAGTGACATATTTTCATAAACATTGTTTCGATTTTGAACAAAAAAAGTGCTTCAAAATTATTGAAAGTAACGGTGGTTCTTTTCTACATAACAGCGCAGCAGCGAGTTCAAGCTCTTGGGGTTGTGAATGATGTCGCGGAAAGGGCCGTAAAGCTTGTTTCCGACCTCAACAACTCGGTAACCAAGAATCCCAAATAAAATGAATACCTACTGCAAGTTGTGGGGACCACCGAAAAATTAAGCCGATGAAATATTGAAGCCTGAGCAGCAGCACATCGCATGATAAGGTTTGAATAAATTGTGCGCCAAAGCAAATACACCCTTGTGAAAAATCACGCTTTTTTCCAAATGACTCCCGTGAAACATAATTGTTGTATTTTACCCGAAACCTGTGTAAAGTGTCATCAAAATCGAAGATTCATGCGCATGATATCGGCTTTCCTCCATGCTGAGTGAACCCCCACACAACGTGACTGCCTCGCGCAGACAGCAGCAGGCGGCAGCTGGCAGTGCTGCTAGAAAAAAAGAATAATGAGCAGTTCGTTTGGTTAGCAATCAGTAATGGGAAAATAACTTTTTCCACAAGCGTATGATCGTTTTGCGGTTGGATTGGTTTATTTTTAGAGGTGGGTGACCTCACCAGATTTTTATTTGAAAAAGTAAGTTTTCCCATAGAAAATCCTATGTAAAATTAAAACCGCTGGCGCTAAAATATAGTTCCACCGACCGACCTGAAATTTTACACAGTTATTCTAGGACGCAGAAGGACCCCGGAAATCATACTGGAACTGGAATTTGAGTTTTGTCCCACCCTAATGGTCATGTGGAAGCTATTTTAGAGTCATAATCGAGTTATATTTTTGGAATGCTGCCTGAAAATTCAGTGCAATATAGCAGTCAAAATACAGAAATACAAATGTTAATACTTCCGGCGTCGTCGCAGCCCACTTCTAACAGGAGCTATTCTCAAAAAGCTCCTCTATCTTGTCTCTACTGGTGCCGCTGTTTGGGATAAAAAAAGGTAGGCAGTGCCTTTAGAAGAACTAAAATGCCGGAAATGCAACGAGTGCCACTGAGTACATTTAACAAATCAGGCTATCAAAATATGTGTAGTGCATTGCTGATTTGTGGAGTAGTGTTAAGCTAAAATAAGGCTTGTTCAATCTTTAGATCAGCCAACTTATTGAGGTTGAATTATGGGGATACAATTAGCTTCATGCTTTACTAATCAACCACATATTCAGCCAGCTGTTAATCAGCTTTGTACACCTTAAATCAACCAATAATCAGCTTCGGTTCTTACTGTTCAGCTTGAATTGTTACTTGGGACCCCTGCATTATTCAACTGTTGTTCTGAAAACAACTATTATGATATTCTTGCTATATTATATGGAAAATATTAATGTAATTCCTAAAAAAATGCTGGGAATGGTTCAAAGATTGCAATTGTTTCTCATTGTTTGCTGAGCAATTTTTGAAAACCATCGTTAATCAATAACTACCAATAAGGTCTACGTTAACGTCTGCAATTAGAATTTGCAACCCCGATCTGGACCTCCAGAATAAGTATTGCGAAAGCTGTTCAGTGATTTTTTTTCGATAAAGCAGCTTAAGATAACATCAAAGAAGGTAAGCCATTTCATGCTGTTAAACTTGCAATGCATCTCCGCTCATACAAAACTGCTCCAGTTCACAAAAGGAAGTCAGCATTTCCTAAGCGCCCCATAATGGCAAATCACTCCCATCGTTGCTTGGTTTCCTATCCATATGAGGCAGTTGTGCGATTATGGGTAGTGAGCATTCCGAATACAGCTGGGATGTTATGATGCTAAACGAATTGTCTGCTTCTATTCATTGAAATCCATTGAAAAGCATTTTACAGTTCCCCCCTGGGAGGCCACTGCTCTGCCAGCAACCGATGCAATGGAGACAGCACAGATAAGCCTCTATTCGCTCGTATATTAATGTTCCACAATCGACCCCCTCTCCCCACCCAAGCTGTTCTTTAGATCTCCAGACGTGATGGTCATTGTCCAACCAATGGCATCTCCATCCATTGCATTTACATGCACAACGTGAAACAGCAGCATTCATTTAATTTCGTTTCCGTTCCTAGATCCTTCTCGAGATGACGGTCGCGTGGAGCAAGGTTCGCGCGGCGCTGCGAGTCCTCGAACCGAAGGAGGAAAAACTAGTGCAACAGGAGGCAAAATTCAAACGTCAGCTGTTCCTGAGAAACGTAACCAGACTGAAAGCCGTGATTATGTATTTTATAGAAGTAGGACAATTTGTTCAGTAAGTATGTATATGGAAACGGATTCGATTGTTTTCCCTGAACCAATTCTCTTCCCACAGGAGTTGCTTCGAATGGGAATCGCCGGTGCGGTCGTTTATAGCATTGGTGTTATGGATCTGTGGATGCATCTGGTTCGATATTTCCGCCATCCCAGCGGCGGTCCTTCTGTACTTGCTAAAGTGAGTGAAATTTTTTTCCTCCGCTTCGTTATTTATTCATGGTTGAAAAGGGTAGCCTAATACTAATTCAACTTTCATTTTAACATTACCCTTGACCACCACATTGCGTCCGATGGACAGAAACTGGCTGATCCGGTGGCTGACGGGTTCATCTTCGACATCCACTGCGGACGAGTACGATGTGGCCAGCGACGATGAGGACGACGACGACAAGGAAAAGGTAAGAGCGAGTAAATTGATAAATTAGGTCAGGATCAAAACCGCCTTGGTGTCGTTGCCGTACCGGAATGGTGCAAAGTTTTTGAAAGTTTTCGAATTGTATTTGTTCCTTTTGCTTTATTTCTCGTAGGAAGAAAAGAAGACGATAAAGGAAAGACTGCAAGCGATACAGGAAGTTTCCCAGAGCGTACAGAACACCATCGGCTATCTGGCATCACTTGGTGAAAGCGTGAAGAAGTAAGTTTTCATGAGGGGGTTGTTGGAATTAATGCAAAAACTATGTAGTTGAACTGCCCTCACGAGCAGTATCCGTGCTGTTGCTCATGTTTCTGGTATTTTCTCGTAATTTATGTAAGACAAGCCGAGGGTTGTTAATTAGTTACGATGCTATTTAGATGTACTTAACTTTTAAGTTTTTTAGTCTAGCCTGGTCTAGTCAAGTCCACGACATACACAGCCATTAATTGAAATTATCCCGGAAAATTATAGGAATTTATCCAGCATCATTATAACCGATGTTAACGCGATCCTATCAGTGATGGTTACGTACTGATTTTTCATATGTTCATCCCCATCCAGTCCGAAGGCATGCGCCCTCTTAAGGAGTGCCTATAATTGTAACTAAGTACTGTACACACAATGTTGTTCCCTCTCATTAAAACGAGAAAAACAATCAGTTTAAAAATTCTAAATTATTTGGATATAAGCTTTTCAGTTTAACGGTGTATGAAAACGGCAGCCCTTAGTATGCACATTTAAAATTGATGAACGCAACACAATTGTAAAAATGTACCGCTCATTATCTAAAGAATGAGCATTGAAATTGTACGAATTACCCATGAATATATTGCAGATGATTTATGCGGATCCAAATTGCTCCATTACTGTGTAGCTACTCAGATTTACTGTCCTGCCCGTGTTATTTTTAAGTCAGAGGAATGGAGAGACGGGCAAGAGTTTAGAATACACTTCTAAGATAAACTTCTAGAATAAACTTCTAAAAGAAGTATCCAGAGGAAGCTTTTTAAGAAAATTATTATAGAAGATTCTGCACGCAAAAGTATATTTGCCGGAATCCTACGTAAAATTCCTTTGCAACTTTGTTGACAATTAGATTCCTTTTAAATCCTGTTCAAAATTTTCTTTGAACTCAACACTCTTCCCAGAAAGCCTAAACATTGTCTTCTAATATTTGTTTGTGTCTTCTTATCCTCAATTTTAGTTTTATTATAACCAGAATATGATTGCTTTGATATTTTTGGTAGAATTTGCATTGAGGTTTTTTTTTATCTTCGTCAGATTTCAATGAAATTATCCGCAGAAAAAACCTTTAACCATTCTGCTTTTCTAATCTAATCTAATCTAATCTAATCTAACACCATCACAGCCAGTTCATGAAAGCATCCTGGAAAATGATAGATATACATCCATCCTTTTTTCTTGTCTATTTGGTATATTTTGTAAATCAGAGATGCGCAAAATATACCAAAACGGCCAGGCCTACTGTGCAGCATTTAAGGGGCAAGATGATTCAGAAACATCGGGCCTGTTTAAATCAAAGCTTTAAACACGATGCTACAGAATCCAATAAATGGATGAAACGTGGACATCTCGTACCGTACGTTCCGTTGTTATAAATGATTGGTCGTTGGAAGCATCTAATCTAAAAAAGTTAAATGATGCTCCATTTTCCTCGAGAGTGGTTGGAATATGAGCACTAGCTCTTGTCTTAGCCCTATATGGCTTATGGTTATAGCGCCATTACTCGCTTTCTGAAAAGAAAAAAAAAATGAATAAAAGGCCGTATAAAAAAGGAAAAGGGGGAAGGAACCCTAGTTCTGTCTCAACTTGCGTAAAAACTGAAAAAACGGGTATCTAATCAATCTACAGGAAAAGTTCGGTAAAACTCACAATGACTTGAGAACTTTTCCATTTGTGTGCTTCATAAAACCTCGCAAAATTTTCCAACGCTGAACACGAACAGATGAGAGCTAGATTTCAGTAGAGAGCAATTGAACGAAAATATATTATAAATTCAAAAACATCTAAATGAAAATAAAGGGAAGATCTCAGCAAGTTTCATAAATTTTGTACTCTTATTGTCCTCCTGCACTACTGGGACTCTCAAGACTCTTCCGGGTTATTGCAAAACTAGTTCAAAAATTCTTCTGGAAAACTATGATCACAAATATGGAACTTTAAGGTACAAAACGTCTAAAACCATAAAAAAGCACTAGGATGACTCTCTTGCCGAATGAACCAATTGGAAAATCTAGGTTGGAACTTGGCCGTACCCACTCGTTCACAACCTTTGACAATAGCGCACTCGACATTTGATTTCTTATCAAAATACAGCACGAAAGCGGCTCTTCGAAATGATGTCTAAGACAAAGTTGTAGAAACCGAAACAGGTGAATATATAAACAGGAACGATCTCACCAAATGAACAATGGTTTGACCGTGAAGCATACACTTGGAAGACTGTTGCATCGCCTAGTTCTAGCTCAACACTTCAAACCATTCCATCGGATCTTCAAAGAAATTCTTGCACAATCCACCTCCAATCCAATCAGAATCATCGAACCAACTTGCCAATCGCCTAATAACAGTTCTGATAAAAAGGATGCTGATCAAAAACACTATGAATTGCATTTCACCCGATCACTTGCACTTGCTTTGCACTAAAGTTCTTTTCCTAGAACTATGTTATCGAATGGCACATTGTTTCGGGCTAAAACGCGATGAAAAAATCAATGGCAGAAAAATTAAGCCTAAAATTTTCGAATCCATGATTTTCTGCTCAGTAAGCAAAATTGGTCGCCACAAGGCCAACGAGCTCCTTAAATCACAGAAAAATTACGATCAAGTTCCCGCTCAACTTGCTGTCACTAGATTTCGATCCCAGCGGTGATCTTACCGACGTCGACAACAACTGCTATTGAGAAGGATTTTATATGTAATTTCAATCAACACATTAGCGTCAGCGTTGCTACGGTATACTTCGGATACTAGTGACACTCACGTCTCTTTTGAAATTCTTAGTCAGCCTGCGTTCAGGAATAATGCTAGGAAGTTAACAGTATTTCCAATCTAAACAAGAATACCAAAAGCATGACTGTCACTATTCCCGGCACGCCTAAATTTACCGTAACTAGAGATAGGAAAGGAAATGTTGATGTAGTACTTACTCAACGAGAGGCCACCGAATTAGTGACATCCTCATAAGTACTACGGAGTTGGAGTATTGGGTACGGTATTAGGTCAAGACACGCCTTAACCAGGTGACCAGAATTTGATAATAAACCCACGATCTTATACACAGCAAACGCAGCAGCCGCTAAGCTAGTCAAAGTTCCTCAATTTGTTTTCAAAGTTTCCATGAAAGAGATGCATCAAATGCAACAGTCCGGCATCTCTCGGTATCACTATAAGTCTGCTGGATTCACACCATCGTGATCATCTTGGGATCTTCGTTGCCCATCAGCTAAGACCATGGTCTGATCTATTTCCATCCCGTCCATGAGATTTTGAACAATTGAACAATCGGAAGCTTGAAATCACCAAATGAAAATCAGCAGCAAAATAAAAAAAAAAACGTCGAAAAAAAAACTTTTAAATTCTGCTTATATGGGAATTTACGCATTCTCGTGCTTCTATTGGCATTTTCTCAGTGTCACGCATACATATGACGTGTTTGTTTGTTAAGGTTCAATTTGCTTTGATGCATTTTTTAAAAATTCAAAAGCAGTTTTTTTCGACGCATTATTTTAGATTGCAAAAAGCGCGCGTCATTTTTTGTAAAATATCAAAAGGAATAAATTAAAGTGAGCTTTTTGCAATCTGAAAAAAATGCGTCGGAAAAAACTGCTTTTGAAATTTTCCAAAAAGCATCAAAGTAAATTGAACCTTAATACTTATATGTACTCGCTTCTCTTTCCCGTTTGTGGCACAGACCTAACTGGTCCATATTTTACTCACTTTTACAACGTTCCAAACTTCTCAGTTGAGTGTAACTATTGTCGGCAGCGTATTTTGCTTCGGCAACTTTTCCATTTGAACTACGTGTTAACGAGATGTTCTATTATCGGCAACTCGAAATCATCCGCATTTTGTACTGCGTATATTTCATGATAAGAAAATTCTGACATAACAAGATTGCTTAGTCATAAAAAAATATGAGATTAAAGCTCAAAGACTAAGGAATTGAAAGAATACATTCAGCAAAATGTTATGATGAGAAAATTCAGTGACATTAACGATTAAATTTTGATTGCTGAAAACAATCAATGGGTGCCAAAGCCAAATTCTATTTGAATACTCTTTAAATCTTTCTTAAAATTTCACCTTGAATATTTCGAGTTTTCTAAGCTTTCTAAGCTCTAAATTTCTTATCTTTTCCTTAGTTCATGATACCAAAACTTAAGAGTTAGATCTAAAAATATCAATGCCCTATAGTTTTTAAAAAGTTTTCAAGCCTAAGGTGGTGATAATATTTTCAAATGATTTAAGAGAGAATCTTAAGTAATCTTAGCTTAGAGCCTTGCACACGTAATTCTTTGTCAACTTTTGCAATCTTCAAATGTTGTTGGAATGATACTCAAAATTTTTAAGAAATAATAATCTAAATTCAAAGTGAAACCTTCTCTTTGGAACCCTTTCGAAAATCTCTTTAAATTCTTTAAAAATCCTTATGAATACTCATAGAAATTTCCTTAAAACTTTCTTCCGATTCAAATTCAGCATCATTTTGATTTCTCAGAAATATTCAGCATTTGATTCTCTTGGAATTATTATCGATATCCTCTGTGAACTCTTTCAGATTATTTTAATTGAATTAAACTTTTTAGAGATTTTCTAGGCCATTGTTTCCATATCATAATTAAGTTTGTATTAGGGTTAATTCACTTTTCATTCTTCTCCTAAATTCCTTTAGAATGCTACCTGAAAATCATTCAGAGTTCCTTCAGAATTCTCTGGAATTCTGCTCATATTCTTCAAAAAAAAAATCTTTTCTGAACTACCTTGGGATTCACCCATAGTTTTGCCTACAGTTTTCCTGAAATGCTTCTCAAAATTACCTACAACTTATTTTCACATTTCTTTGGGATTGTCCTCTGAATTCGTTTAGAATTATTTCTAGAATTGTCCGACCGGATGGCTTTCGGAACTCGACCATGTTGCGTTTGGACCATCTCGACGTATTCTTAAATTTTCGCTGAAACCTCGGATTTCTGCTT